ATAAACTAACCCTAACCACCACACACACACACACACACACACACGAAAAGCGCTCACCTGCAGTCATGTTTATTATCACCACGATAAAAAAGGTATAATGTCTGCAGTGAGCCACAATGGTAAAGAGTGGGCAAGTCTGTGATGTTCCAGTATTTGTAAATTGCTCACATGCAAATACCCCACCACCTTTGGAAGCAGAATATGATAATTGGTTTGTACACTTTGTTTTATCAGAGCATTTGTTTGGTCCGTTGATTACTTTGGGCTGTTGATTACTGCAGTAGTTGATTACTTGGAATTCTTGCAGAGATTCTCCAGTTTCATACCAAACTGTTTCCTTCTTCCCATTAGCCACTGTTTCATTGCACGTAAGTGTGAAATTTCCATTTTCATAATGATGAAAGAAAGTCTCACCTGTTAAAAATATGTAAATGGTTAATGATGCTGCAGGTTACAAGCATCATTAAGGGCCCAAACCTGTAAGCTTGTGTGCTTCTGGGATGCTGCTGTGTTCCTCCTGGGTCATGTTGAACATCCTTCCCTTGCCATCAGCAGAATCTCGGTTCTCTGAGCATTTCCTATGACACTCACAGCACATTGTAGGATCTAGCACTAAGAACACAGATCTGGAATTTTATACTTGGACCTTGCAGAATGAAAAAAATATTGCACAGTTCATAGTGAACGCTGATCAAATTACATAGCTTAAGCCTTGACATTGGCTTTGTTTTAAAGGGTGTTTTTGTGGCCATTTCTAACTATGAGAATGACACCAAAGAGATTTCAAAGGAAGAAAATAGGGTACAAATATGTATTTTTGTATTAACAATTGCCATATTTATTAATTCCCTGGGCTAATAACCAATCACAAGCAGCCATGGCACAAAACTGCAGTTTTGACTTAGAAAATCTGGCCCTTGCTAGTTAATCTTTATATAGTTTGCTAAAAGTTAAGTCCCTGATCCTGAGAACGTTTGTGCATATGAACAGTTCCAAAATTCTATGGGACTATTCATATGCATAAGGTTACTCACATGGCATTACTGATTACAGAATTGGGGCCTACATTACATAGGGTTTATGAGGCGTGTGTCTAAGAGACACTGTCATCACAATTATGCCTCCAATCCTCTTTCCTAAATTTTTTTAGAGGTCTTATAAAATATAGCCATTTGGGTGAAATGGAACGAAAAACTGTGCATGAGCTCTTCCGACTGGTCTGCTGCAAAAAATTAAGCATACTTAGAGCTATGTTAATATAAGCATAGATGATGGTAAGTGAATAGACAAAACATTTTAGCTTTTGTATTTTCACAGCTTTTTAAATACAGTACTGAATAAATTGGGGTTTAGAACCAGAGCTGGTTGAAAGGTAGGGAAATATATTCCACTTTTTTTCAATCAAAATTTCATGTTTTGATTAGAACGTTGTGAAAATATTCATAACATTTTATTTCCAGTTTTTTTATCCATTGAAATTCAAAATTTTGGTGTAAAATTTTATTAAAATTTGAATTTTGTCAAATTTTGACCAGCAAAGTTGAGGACGTTTTGCCAGCCATGGAATCTAGAAGTTTCAATACTTGTCCAAACTTCAAAAGCCCCAACAGGCCCTGCAGTCCTCTATCCACCCAGCATCCTTCTGCCATGAGCAGACCCTGTGACAGACTCTCCCTTCAATAGACCATGAGCCCTCCAACCTGTTCTATTGTGCTCTTTCTGAACAGAGTGAAGGGCAGATGGACTTTTCAGGGCCTATTCTCTGCCCCCCACAACAGGATGGTGCCCCAATGGGACTTTTCCCT